ATGCCTATATATACACACATATACATATATATATACAGCACAAGTTTCCAATGTTACGTTGGAATTAGGCGCTCATCAATTTTTGGACCTATGGAGTTACTGATTTCTTAAAACTTGTTCTTTCGTCTTGCTTCTGACGTGAAAATACTCATATAGACCTATCTTAACCCTATCCATACGCCCTGGGGTCATTTTGTACCCCCGGGGTTGTATTCTTCACATTTCAGAATACTTCTAGTATAAAGATCTCTTTGAAACATTTGGTATTTCTTAAAAAATCCTTTAGACAGACTGCTATGCAAAGCATACGGATCAGATTAACGAGTAAATTTCCTCTTTGGAAAGTGGAGGCACAGAGTTCCCCACGTCGTATGGATACAATAGTAAAACACGACGTACGGATAGAGTTGATATAACAATAATAAATAAAAACAATGCAAATTTGTAAAAAAAAACCACAAGAGTTAGAAAAATCCAGTTTGCTTAAACAAAAAAAATATACAAAAGACGAAGGAAAAAGAAACCTACCTGCTCTAAAAATAGCGGCGGAGGCGTAGTGCATGGTGAGGGCGTGGACCAGCCTCTGGGTGGTGGAGTAGACCGCGACACGCTCAAACTTGGCCAGACTGAGAGGCGTGTGGTCGGACGCCAGGAACAGCTTGAGAGACGCGTGCACGCTGAGGAGCACTCTGATTGGCTGAATGGTGAACTGGCGGATCCTGACCGGTCGGCTGAACACATACGAGTTGACCGCGACGACCGGCGGGACGGACCGGTGAAGAGCTCCGGGGGGAGAGTTTGGAGTTGGTGAGGAGGAGGAGGTCATGGTTTGTCGGGTCGGGGTGAATCCTTCGAGTTCTTCCAGCACGCGATAGACAAACGCGTCGTCGATGTAGAGAGACAGGGGCTGGAGGGACACGTCCAACATCTCAACGCTCGACTGGTTCCAGGTCGGGTCGAACAGGGTCACAACCTGTAGGTGGAGGAACGACCTTGACCTGAGCACGGCGTGGAGCTCCACCACAGACATCCCCTCCTCCATGCAGGAAGACAGGAAGGAGGAGGAAGACACAAGGGAAGAGGATCTCCCTCCTCCTCCTCCTCCTCCCCCGCTGTTGTCGTTGCTGTTGTTGTTGTTGTTGTTGTTGTTCTCACCTCCCCCTCCCCTCCCCCCCGCCCCCTGCGGCACGAGGACCACGGGAAAGTCGTACTGCCCGACCCCGTACAGCTGGTTATCCACCTGCACACGGCCGGCACTCAGTGCGTAACTCACCTCACGTCTGCTGCACTCCGGCCCCCGCGACACCGGGAACGAACACGCAAACAAATCGTGCAGATGGACGCACATCAGCTCGGAGAGCACTCCCTGCTTACTCTCGTCCTCTAAGGAAACCGTGAACCACGAACACACCACCCCGACCGTGACCTTGACCCGAGAGTTCGACTCCTCGCTGTTCTTCCTTCGAACTCTGTCCCTCTCTGAAAACCGGACGGCCGGAGTGAAGGCAGAGGATTGAGACGTCGACGCGTCTTTACCGTCTGAGTGACGTGATGGCGATGGTGCGGAGGGGGTAGACGACATTTTCTCCCCCACGACCGCCCCAGAACCGAGCTTGGAATGTGGCGTAGACTCCTGCGATGTCGAAGAATTCTGGACCTGCGACTCGCGTCTGGGCGAGGGAGGATGAGAACCGACGACTCTCTTAGCGTCCGATCTCTCCGTGTGTCCGGCAGACGTGGAAGATTGCTGATCCGTCAGCCTGCTGCGGATTTCCTTGGCGGTGACCTCAGCCTTGCTCACCGGACGCACCACGAGGTGAGTCACCATGCCCACGGGCTCGATCATGACCTTGAGGTCACAGAGGTCGGGCAGACGGAGAAAGGCGTCGGTGTTGCCGCCCACTTGTACCGGCGAGCTCCACTCCGTGACGCCTGAGGAAACGAAGACAGAAGTGAGAGGAAATTTCAGATGCGGTACAACACTACACATGTGCAGCTTGTCCAACACAAAAGTATCATAGTCTTTTCTGTGTGAATTATGTTTGATTCAATAGATGTTGAGCCTGGAATTGTGAAAATACAGTGGAACCTGTCTACTGAGGCAGGCACCGATTGTAGAGGAGTAAAGTGGTTGTCATAGACACGTGGACATCTTACACAGTGTCTTTATATTGTTGTTTTTTAACAAACACAAGACGGAAAAGGGAAGTGGCTGTACGTAGAGGTTGCTGTCTCCCTGAGTAGAAGAGAACAAGTCATTATCTTTCGCCTGGGAACACACCACATCCCACTGAATTTTTACCTAAATAGGATCCACAAGGATACCCCACCTGACTGCCCATTGTGTGACAGTACCACACCACCTCTTTAACTGCCCAGCACTTTGTGACCTGCGTAGCACCTACCTACCTGCCTCCCTAGACATCGGAAATACTCTATACAGCGACAAAGCACAGCTGATTAAAACCTGTAACTTCTTTGCCATATCGACAGACCGAAGGGCTAGAACCCAGATGGCCGCTGGATCAGAAAAGTAAAGTAAAGTAAAGTAGAGGTGCCTGTCTTATACAGGTGACTGTCTTATACTGGTGACTGTCTTATACAGGTGACTGTCTTATACAGGTGACTGTCTTATACAGGTGACTGTCTTATACTACTGTCTTATACAGGTGACTGTCTTATACTACTGTCTTATACAGGTGACTGTCTTATACAGGTGACTGTCTTATACAGGTGTCTGTCTTATACAACTGTCTTATACAGGTGACTGTCTTATACAGGTGTCTGTCTTATATTACTGTCTTATACAGGTGACTGTCTTATACAGGTGACTGTCTTATAC